AGGTCAACACTTAAACTTTGCACAATCACATTTCCTGGAAGTACAATTTCACCATACATGACTAAGCTGAGGATGTTACAAACACTGCCACAAAATTTCCTCAGTCCTTTTGCGTAATAGCCAAATAGACATTGCTGTGTAGAATAAACACATGCACTGCAAACGTATCACCTTTCAAATTGAATTCTGAACTCCATTTAACAGTCTTAACCTGCTAACTGGTTGGAAAAAAGGGCAGCATGAAATTCATTACACTGAGGGTTCTAAGGCTTAGAACACAATGTCTTAGCTGAAAAAAACCCAAACCCAAAAAGACTGTTATCACAGCATTTTTGAAAATTGAAAAATGGGTCAGATATGAAGAGCTATATCCTGCAAATTGTAGTGAAGGAGGAGCATGGTGCTGCACTGCCTTCCTCACGGACAAGGCAAAGCATACTGACATCAGGACTCTTCTTGTACTGAACAGGTTACACACGATAATGTAAAGAGAAACTTAATGATTAAAGCTTTGAATTAATCTGCCAGATGACTGACTAAAGATTCCAAAACAAGCTTATATTGTAATAAGCAGAAAGTCACTAAAGCAAAACAGTGAGGAGACAATAAGGGAGTTGAAGGTGATGCTCCAAATCCAGACTTAATGTTAAGAGGATGTGAACTTACACAAGAACCAAAACTCTGGGCGCTGCCTTCATTCATCCTCCTTTTGTAATGGGATTAATTTGAGACTTCTTCTGGAGAATAACAAGGTACATAATGCTGTTAAAGAAAATGAATGTGCTAAAAGTATTGCTCTTGAACGTCTCACAGGTTCAAATCCTCCAGCAGTCAAAGTTCAGAAAGGGAAGCAATTCCTTAGAAATTCATTCTAACAATTGAAAGCTATTTGGGGTAAAGTCTGAGGAGAAGGAGGGGAACAAATAAAGATTATTACTACAATAAAGCCCTTGCATGCATTGATACTGTGAACTGACACAATATTATACATTACTGACAAGGCTGTGCTGTAAACTATTATGTAGGATATCATAAAGCTAAACTAACTATAGATTCCAGTTTGGCTAATGCAACACCAATGACTTCTTCCAGTACAGTTACAATACTCAGTGACCACTTTTTCATGTCTCTTGTAGACATAGTTATGTTGGCAGGCGTTTGCTGTTAGCATGCCTTTAATTTACTTTACAGACTTTTAAAGTCTGCAACAGAGACTTTAGCATGATGTAGAAGACAGATCGTACTTCTATACAGCCCCGATCTCAATGTTGGTTATATATACTCATTCTGGAGAAAAACGTTTTATCTCCTATGAAATAGCATCAGCTTGGACAACGACACACAACTGAGCTGAGCATGCCCTGACATACCCGAGAAGACATCCCTAAACCATTATTGTCCTAATGTGACTTGAAAGGGAAACATGGATGTTTTTATAAAGTACCTAAGTATCCTTCACAGATTTGCGAGACAATACACAGCCTTTTATGGCAAACCATGCAATGAATGGTGTTGCTAAACCAAACCAAATAGGAATAACGTTTCCATTGGGACTTCTGATTAGCAATGTAAGTGAAAAATCAGATCCAGATTCTGTGCTATGGTGTATTTGCCTTGGCCTGGCAAATTGCCCTTCAAATGAACTCTCTGCTAACAGAAAGCTTGCGCTATAGCAACTGTTCTGCCTACTGCTCTCAGTGATTAGGGATCGCAGTTAGGACAAATGAGAAATGAAGCAATCAGAAAAGGGCATTAAAACACTGTTTCAGCCCTACTTTTGAGCAGGCTTAGTCTAGCATCTTTTTCACCCTGTACAGTACATATTCCACGGCAATCTTGAAAACAGTATAATTTAAAAGTTAACATCTGCTTAGCTGGTAGCACCAGATAAAAGCTCTCATTCGTAATGAATGGGAGAATTTGTTATTGCCCTAGTCAATAGCTGTTGACTTGGCAAAGCACTTCTGCTTATTACAGTCAAATCCACTTTCTTTTTTGTTCAATAGTCAATGACACTGCAATGGAAGGTACTGCTTAAAAACTGATGCAATATATATCAGCAACTGCTAGCAGCTAATGACTAATGGTTACAAAGAGGAAAGCATGTGCTAAGAACAGCATTACACGCCTATTAATCAAATTTACTGCATCCAATGTGCCTTTATACCTTAGCGGAACTGTAATGCACATCAGTTTCTGCTGTTGCTAATCTAACACAAAACACCTTTTAATCATTACATAAATGATTTGGCTGGGACAAGGTTCTGTCTGACTTTTACAGCACACCTTTTAGTTACAGGAAATGTCTGTCCTGTGTTGGCTTGTGCAATCCTAGATTTAGGATTTAGTGGTTCTGCTGCCAGCTGAAGCATGTTATTCTCTAAATAGCACAGATGTGGCAGCATAAATGCAAGGCAACATCCGAGAGATAAACAGGCAAAAAGATGCCGTTGCTTAGCCTGCCTCCTAGCTTCTTTCCTGCAGCAGAGCAGTACTGCACAACTCTGCCCTTTATAAAACTTGCCCTTTCCATGCATTATGGAGAAATTTGTTGATAACACATGTATTTTTTTTCATCCTATAATTATTGCTGCACATTTTTTTCCAACCAGCCTGACCCGTATTTCCTTTCAAACTTCCTCTACTTTTTTAATACCTGAGATAGATATTTTCATAGGACAGTATGACTATAACAGTAACACCTAGTGTATTTATATACTTCTAAGCAAAACATTCCAAAAATAATAGTAAAGTTTGTTGACTCCTTAGAGAAAAGCAGAACTGCTAATGATGACTTCTTGACTTACAGTTGTCTGTATGATCACTTTTCCTGTAGAACAGGAACAGATACTCTAATGCTGGAGCACTGATTTATCTGTTTGTTTCTATTTTCTGAATGCAGTCTTCATTTTTCTCTAGGCTGACAACGAGCCATTATAGAAAGAAAACGTATAAACGTGGCAAAGATTAAACAATCATGCCATTGCCAAGCACATTATACTGCACCCTGTGTGTACCATCTAATTGGATTTAAACAATGTTTGTAAATCACGGCCATTAGCCTTTTTCAGAAATGAGACATACACTACTAGATCCACCACATGGATCCTAGCCATACCTGTGATACTTGTTTATAAATGGGCCACGTTGGTGAAGACTGGTGGAATTTAATTTTTGATATATGCTCATTACACAGCAAGGAGCTAAATTCAATGAGGTTCCTACATATTTACATCTCTTGACGAAGATCTCCAGTGCTGCTCAGCCAGCGTTAAGTCATGTTCTCATTTGCTGTGACAGAGCAGTTACTGACAGGAGAGCAATGGAGAACATTAAGCAATATGTTTCTAGAAGCCTGCAACATCATTTTTTTTACTCTAGCAACCAAACACTCCTAAATAATAATGAATTTCTCCTTTCAATACTGTGTGAAAAAAAAACAACACAAAAGATCCTCTTCATCTTAATCCTGAACCACAGGAACAGATTTGAACAATTCATATCATAAACCTATTGCACACCAATGACTCCCAACTTGGAGCACTGTACGCATTTCTGGCGTCCTCAAGATAAGAAAAACATGGAGCTGTTGGAGCAAGTCCAGAGAAGGGCCATGATGATGATGAGCAGCTGGAGTACCTCCTGTAAGAAGACAGTCTGAAAAAATCGAGGCTGCTCAGCCTGGAGAAGAGAAGGCTGCGTGGAAACCTCAGAGCAGCTTCCAGCATCTGAAGGGGGCCCATAAGGATGCTTGGGAGGGACTCTTCATTAGGGACTGTAGTGACAGGACAAGGGGTGATGGGTTTAAACTGAAACAGGGGAAGTTCAGGTTAGATATAAGGAAGAAGTTCTTTACTGTGAGGGTGGTGAAATGGTTTGCCCAAGGATGCTGTGAATGCTCCATCCATGGCAGTGTCCAAGGCCAGATTGGACGGAGCCTTGGGTGATGTGGTTTAGTGTGAGGTGTCCCTGCCCATGGCAGGGGGGCTGGAACTGGATGATCTTAAGGTCCTTACCAGCCCTAACCATTCTATGATTCTAGGATTCTATGACATGAGTTCAGGAGCTATACTTTCCTCTTTGTTCCAGTATATTGTGTTTTCCAAGCACAGCTTTGTAACAAGAGCAAAACAGGAAATATTCATAACATATTTACTGTATTTACTGTTAAAATAAGAGGACATCATTGTTTTATACACATCACACTTGATCTTTACAGGAAAAACGTAAGTACTTCAAATTAGCAAACAACATGGCTTAGCTGAGGCAATGATGAATTTTGAGAGGAGTGTAACATGAGGTTTTTAACTCATTACTGCAAAAAGCTGGCATTAAAGAAATCACATGCATTTTAATACGACTTCTTATTTAATACTTAAATGGTAAGTTAGGCATTTCAGCATTTCAGAGAAGTCCGTAACACTAGGTTTCAGAGGCAAGTGATATCTTGGCAGCTGCAACAGGTATAAAGAGTAAGACATTTCACATGTTATTCTGGAATCTTAGTGAATAATTTGCAAGCGTACAATAAGTTTAAGAGAATTTATATTTTATTTCTTTAAAATATAGGAAATTGATTTCTTCTGGTACTGAAATCAATAAAACACAACCAAATAAATAATGAGCTCTTTTGGGAGAAGAAGAATATAGCTGCTCCGTTGCAAGACAATTTGACTTCATTAACAAATCATTTACATTTATGGTTTCTGTATTCCACTTGCCTATAAGCAAACTTTACAGTCTATTTAATGAGAACCTGTAAAGACTTTATTTGAATTAGAAGGGTTTTTATTAAAAAAAAAGAAGTAAAACATTTTAAAATGAAAACAGCTATGCAGTTCCTATTATAGTCCCAAATTCTGCAGTATCTACTGTCATTTTATGACTTGGATGCTTTCTGAGAATTGCAATCCATACTAAATGTGGAATTAACACTTAATTTTGGTGCTAAATGACACCGAATGGGAACAATGATAAAAGAACCAGCAGTAGTAACTTACTTTTTGTAACAACTCCTTCAAGGCGAATTATATTTGGGTGATCGAATTGTCCCATGATACTAGCCTCTCTCAGGAAATCTCTTCTCTGCCTGTCCACATAGCCACCTTTCAGAGTTTTAATTGCAACAGGTATCTCTCTTTTTCCTGGTGTCTTCAAACGTCCACTGCACACTTCTCCAAACTCACCTTAAACAGAGGAAATATTTGTTAGATCATTTGCAGTGCCTGCGGAACTACAGGACAGTTTGTACTGCTTAAGTTATACACCTTGTTTTCCAAAAGAACCTTCAGCAGCCATCTTTAAAGCTGTCCTTTATTATGAGTTAAGAGTTATTTGTAGTTGTCAGTGAAACAAGAATGCAAAAATATTCAAGAAACACATATCCCATAGACGCAGACAGAGAAATAATGGATGGGATACTCAAGTTCCCAAGTTTCATCATATCCCAGAAAAGCAAAATATTCAGCATTAATTCGCAATAAATAATCACCTTTCCTTTGTGCCACACCATGAGATGACAGGGGCTTGTACTTTCACTGCAATAATGGTCCCAAACCATCAGCCCCCCACAGTGCTGTTCATCTTGCTTTACTGACACTTTGAGACTGAAACTATGATATCAATCTGTTTGTGACATAACTCGGCATGCTATGAGGAAGGAATGTAACGACACTTAGATTTTCATTCTAATGAAGACAAAATATCTGTGTCCAAAAAATCCTATTGACAGCAATATGTATCTATAGGGGTGTCACACACTGAGACCTGTATGAAAAAAAATTCCATGAGAATATCAGAATACCTGAGTACCCCCCAGTTTCGGAAAGCATGTAAAAGTACTTAACGTATTATGCCACAGAAAAGCAGTTGCAGATGGTTTATTTAAATGGATTTACACACCTACTTGAAATTAATTACATATTTCACTGTTCAGACAGTCAAGGGCAAACAGTTTCAGCAAATCAGGACTGGGCTGCATATGGGAGGAAGCTCAAAGCTTGCTTCAGCTGATGTCTTCCTGTGGATGTTAGGGCCTTTGAAGAATGCATGTCTCCTCTCATTCCCTTTACAGATTTACTAATTAAGTTTGTCTGGAAATCACAATGCTCCTTAGATCTCGAACCCAGTCAAAAGTTATTTGAAGCCCCTAGCAAATATACTCTGGATGCCTGCAGGGCAGTTTTCAGTGAGTCATAATCCAGTAAACATAAACCAATGTTCACAAAAATATTTAAAGGCAAGTCTCGGTGCAGGGTACTTCTATAGCAAAACTAAATTTTGTACCCGTATTTTGAAACCAGAACTGTTGAAAAACAAACAAAAAAACCCCATCATAAACAGATATATATGTAACTGGAGGGAATAATTTGTTACCCCCTCCACTCCACGTTGTCTGAAGTAGTTTTCCTTAAAGGACAGAACAAAAGAAAAGAAAATGAGAGAGCTCTATCCTGTAACAGTATGAGTTCAGATATGAATCTAGAAGAGAGAGGCCTTAAAGGCAGAAGCTTCACTTCAGAAAATTATAACTCCCTGATGTTACAGGATTAGGATGGATATTGTTATACAGCTTTTACTTTATTAGGTTCTGTCACTTCCACTAAAACAAAATAAGGTTTTATTAGCCAGTAAGATCCAGGAAGAGTGGAGGGATTAAAAAACCCATTTCATAGCTTGTCTTTCACTTCAAAACAAAGACATCATCAAGTGCAAGAGTACAATTAACAGATGTTGAAGGTAACCCCTGAATAAATTAGCAGCTTCTTAAACAGCTAACAAAAGCCAAGTGTTCTAGGGTTCCTTCTACCACCCCTCTCTCCCATTTGTTTTATTTCTACTTAATTTTAAGAAACAAATCAAAGCATGTTCTTCCCTGAAAATGTGTGTATATGTGTGAAAATATATGTCATTAGACTAACGCTTTGGGAATCTTTTGACAAAAGGGATATTTTGATAAGGAATTTCCTACAGATTTTGCCCCTTTAGCTCTTAGAAGGCTCTCCTTAAAAGTCTGTTTGCCTGACTACTTCCAATGAAAAAGCAGTAGATAATCTGGACTTCCAAAGTCCTACCATAAAGTCATGAAATGTGAATGTTTTGAAAGAGACATGGTATATCAATCTTCTATTCTGTGCTACATGGTGCAGTGCTAGAACGAATGTCTAAAGCCATGACCTCTGGCTTTTCAAACTCAAATACCTAAAATGAGAAAAATTTCCAATTTCTTTCTCTTGATGTGAAAAGCAAAAATACTAGAGCCTTACTATCCAGATTTTAAAAGAGGTTTCACAATCAATGCATTTGCAGAACTGCAAAATCTCATTTTGGAGAACAGTTTGGAAAGCATGGGTTATAGAATAAATTGGTTTGCTAGTTGAAGACTATACAAGAATAGTACAACTTCAGAATTTCATAAATAATGGCATTCATACTTCAGGGACTGTTAAGGGCTGTTCACCAAGTGTTCTGAAATGAATTAAACTGAAGGAGGCAGGTGAAGGACTTACAATCCCAAGATTTATTATCTATACAACATCCAAAGCAGGGGAAGGGAAAACTGTGTCTTCTCCCTGACCTGTTTCTTTTCCCTTTTTTGGATGAATGATTTGTGCAGTTAGAAAGTAATTTCACTGCTTTTGGCTACTGGGATTGATCAACTGGTGAGCATTAAGACTCACAGTAAATTTTTTTGTGTCAAACAGACAGTAAGTGATCATCAGCTCACAAAACAGCCAGTTACTACTTTTGGAAACCTAAGGTATGCGTAATAACTTCTAGTGCTGATTTAGATTAGATGGAGATCAGTGATACATTTTGAGGCATTGAATTATTTACACTGAGAAAGAGTTTGACAAGATTTCATCCCAGAGTACTTTTTCTGGAGTTTTGCTCAGGTAAAGAATTTTGAATGTTTTTAAAGTCAAAGGGGAATGTATTCAACAAAAGGGAATTTTAACATCTATGAATCTAAGTCTCATTACTTAAGTCTGACAAGTGTTGACCCTGCAGCAGTAAAGGTCCTGCATGTGTAATAAGTAGAAGCTAAGAGCCAGATGTCAATGAAGTCAACATCTTTCTTTGTTCCAGGGAAAAAGCTGGTGATGACTGGAAAAAAAGATAAGAGTTCATTTGCTGTCCATTTTTAATACAGTGGAAATAATCACTGGTTTAATGATATAAACCCCACACATCTTACTGTATGTTATACAAAAACAACCCAATTGAGCAGTCCCGAAACTTACCCTGTGCAAACCACGCATCCCTTTTCTCATTCAGTGTTAACATATGTGTTATTTAAAATGAAACAGGAACGTCAGTCACTTAAAATCTGATATGCAGTCTGGTATTACTACATGGGATCAAAACAAATATCTTACAACACAGACAGTTGCTGTTGATAGAACTGAAAGGTCACAGCACCAAATACAACTCATTTCCCCCAGTTTTAGACATTAGGCCCGTGGGAGAACTGGCAGAGGATTTAGTTTATAAAAAGAATACGGTTTACTCTGAAAAATCAAAGAATTCCTTGAATTACAAGATTTTAACTAAGAAAATAAAAGGATAATTGTAATTTTTAAGACTTGGTAAAGTACCTCTGAGAACTCCTTCCACGAAGAGCTGCTGATGCCTTAAACCTCTTGATGGGGCAGAAAAAAGTGCCAAGGACACGACAAAATCAACTGATATGGTAACATGTCAGTAGGTTCAGCAACCTGAATATGAAGAGCGGTTGAAAGGGACAATCTGAAGAAAATTTACAGCAACGAATAGATGGCAAATTGTGGGATCTTTGTACTGAACCAACTGCAGTTCCCATGGAATATTTAATATTAGTGATAAAAATCTCAGCCAAGAGCTCTGAATACAAGAATATACAATATCAAGTTGGACAACAGTAAAACTTTATCGTAAGTAGTTGATAAAATAAAAGGGAATCGACTAATCAATGTCACCATTTCAACAGTAACTATTGCTAGAATGTGAACTTCATTAATACCTGTTTATTTGGTTGATGGTACCATGAAGAACATAAGCAAAGCACTCACAACAGGTTCTGTTTTGCCTTTGGTATTGTAATCTGCTTGCTGTTATAAATATTTGATCAAGCTACAATTTCCATTTAGCTGCAAACTCCTTCCCCTACTGCCTTTACATTCCAATTTGAACCAAGATATCAGCAGAAGTTATTAGAAGACTGCATTGCAACTAGTGAATTATCAAGAGCTCTTGGACATGACTTTTTCCATTGAAAAAAACAAACTGGAAGCTGCTTTCTGTAAAAGATCAGTTTCAAAAATTTCTTGGCCAGAAATGCTAGGAACAAAAAACATTAAAATATTTGCAATGTTCCACTTTGACATTTTCAAAGTGAAAACTTTTGGTACTGAATGGAAACAATTTTTGTTTTGAAAATTTAAAGATGCAGAAATTCACCATGAAAATCATTAATCAAAATAAACTGTTCAAAAAAACCAAATTTAACAAATGCATTGATTAATTAACTTCTTAAAAGATTTTAAGGTTGCATTTCGTAGAAGATTGCATTTTTTGTTTCACTTAGGTGAAAAGTGTAAGTATCTTTTAAAAGTAATTCTATCAAAAGTAATCCATTTTACATGGAGTTGCAATGTTTAATATAGAATTAGAGAGAAGGTATAAAGAATGTTTTAGGACTGCTGTGAATTATAATGATATGTTATGTCTCCTAGCAGCTATCAAAAACTCTGTCAGAATTTGTACTCTCCATGCCTCGGGCATGGATCTTGCCTGTATGGAAACGGGTTTAAATATCATTGCAGTCAGGCTGCAAGCACTGCTAGGCAAATATCTTTGAAGAAAGTAGATTACCCAAGTAAATTTAGAAGATAAAAAATACAAAATGTGTCAAAGCAGGCAAAAATTCACTTCCACACACACGAGAAAAGGGAGAGAGAAGCTGAGTAAAGAATTTTCATAATGGTATTAACTCGAGAATAAGGACACAATTTTCATGTGAACTAAAATCAATAAACTCGATCCTTGTCTGTTGTATTCACCTGCTTTGAAATCACCAGTTATACCATAATGCTGAATGTATTTTAGTATGCTTTATAATCTAAGGCATCAAGATCTACCGTATGTCTGAGGAAAAGGAAGATATAAAAGAAATTAGACAGAATGCTTTTGCAGAAGTCAGCCCTCTGGTCTGACTCTCTCAAGCACATAATTCCTATGGTGCAAAGTGTCAGCTACATGTTATCTAGCTTAAGCAGTCAGGTAAACTCTGAAGTGCTCTCTCAAAATGGACTGCAGCATGAAACAGGATTTTCTCTCTTCCAGGCTGATACTTTCTTTCCCCCGTTTGTTAACAGGCCTGGTTTTGTTTCTGTTATGTTATTTGAATGATATTTTCTAGTGCACTGATCCACTTTTTAATGGACTTCTAGCAACACTGGAGACATTTCAATTGCTATCAGTGTAGTAATGTGTCATTAAAAGAGGGATCTTCACTGAAAAATACCTCGCCTTCTAGACTAAGATAAACGAAACAAAGATAAAAAAGAAGGATCACGTATATTATGTCTTCTGATAGTAATTCTCCTGACAACACTTGCTAGTATGAGTTCTTTGGTGGGCTCACCAGCAAATAAAAACATTTTTTCCACTGCCCCCCTTCTACAAGATGTAACTGATTATTGCAGTCCACTGTACTCCAAAATGCTTTTTTTTCTTGACAACGTTAAAGTTAGAGAAAGTAAATAATGTTAAAAAAAAGCATTTGTATGTTGGCATTTACATAGTAAGCAATTTAACAGCATTGTTAAAGAAAACTCAAAATGGATAGCTCAAAGATGGGTATTGAAGTATGGAACGTACTAACTACTGATACTGAAATAAAAATACAGTGAGGTGAAGACAAAACTTCTATGTAGTTAGTATTAAAAGTACCTTTAAGATAGCGATTTAGAAAACTCAGTCATTCTTAGTATCTTAAGGACGCAGAGAAATATCCGTATTGCGTAAACTGAAGACAGACAGGTATAATGTTAAGGTCTTTTCACAGGAGAAATTAAATTTCAGAGCTGGAGCTAGAGCTTAGGATTCTGCTTCCATGTTCATCCAAATTTCTGATACAGACCCATAGCTCTCCCACCTTCCCTTTCTGTTGGGGCTGAGAAATGATTCATGCTCCTAAGCCACTGACAGCGTGTGGGTAACAATACAGAGGATGCGATGTACCACATGAACTTCAGACCCTTCTTGTCAGTCTATCTGTTGTTTTAATTTGTTATAACTGTGTGAAATGTTAGTGGGCCTTCTGAATGACATATTGGTCACAAGCCACGTAGTGAGACCCAAGTAGTTAGGTAAGTTTGTAAGTCCCTCCTTTTTAAGTTCTCAGTGTGTAAACCACAGAGCAAACAATCCCAAGACCTGGTCAGTAATGAAATGCTATCTGCCCTAGACAGTCAGTACAAAAGTTCCAAGGAATGGTTTTACAAGACTGATCTTCACAAGGATTTAACTTTTGTTGTGTTAATCACAAGGGTGTGTTTTCTGTCACCACTGAGCTGCCACCAGGACCTATAGTGAACTCTAGAGAGCAGCCATGAGCCTTTATCCCTGCAAAGGCCAAGTGAACTTGCACAGCACTTTCCTGAATATCAAAACCTAACAATTAAACAAAAGCTAAGACAAGAAGTTGACACCCAATGCCCGTAACAGACATGCCTATAAACAGAGCACATTAGCAAAGGGTATGATCCCTAAAAACACAAGGGGCATGTCACATCCCTTTGTAAAGAAAAAGAGCCAACATACAGAAAGGATTAATGAGCTTCTGAAACTTCTATTCAACCAGCAGTGCAATGACCTACAACCTCAATGGGATATTCTCAACGGAAGGTAAACACCCCATGGATGAAACCAGGGTCTAAAATACTTGTTAAATGTAATTCTTCTGTATCCCCACCACACACTCAAAGACAAACAGGATGTGAGAGTGGATCCTGCTGCTATTTTTCTCATTCATCTTGCTTCCCAGCTCCATGTCACCTTGCATACTGCCTACACCTTCTCATCAGATCTTCCACTTTTCCCTCTCTGACAATGATCCTTCTCTGCACAGCTACAGGAAAGCCTATCCCAAGCCAGACTCTTCCCCCTTGTACTCCTCCTATTTTCTATTTGAGAATATTTCATTCTTAGTCTTTTAAATTCTTATCTTAATAAGATTACAGAAACAGATTCTGTTTCCCCAGAAACAGATTCTGCTCCCAGAAACAGATTCTGACCTGATCTCCCCCTCAGTGACAGAGAATACGTGACTGGCAAATGTTGAGTGATGGTGCTTTGAGTACATTTGGAACAAAGCAAAAAAACCTCCAAACCAGCAAAACAAACAAACAAACCAACCCCCAAACTCAATCCTACCACCAAAAGGTTGATAAAGCCTTAAAAAAGGGGTAAACCTATTGCTTTGGAGAATCGACCTCTCCAGAACTCCTTAATTGAATATACCCACATTCGGAACAGTAGCCAAAACCAATACCTCATGTACACCACCTGAGACTGAACTGCTACTATCAGAGAAATACTTGCATTATCCTGGTGACTGGAAAAAAGCAGCCTTTCCATGCCTAGACATTTTTTAAAGTGGGTATACTTTTACCTGCCCCAATGACTCTCTCAATACGAATTCTTGAAGGATCTATTTCCTTTGCAAACTCATGGACAGCAAGAGATGGGTCTTCATACGTGTCTGGATCAATATATGTTTTGATGCCTGGAAAACGTACTGCAAAAAAGAGAGAATACTCAGAATCAAGAATTCTTTTACATTCATGCACTGTAACAATATGGTTTTATCTTTTTTTTTTGGTTGACTAGACAATTGAAAGGATTGGAAATAATACATTAAATCTTCCACATTTAAAGCTCCAGAACCCAACTGAAGAGGATAATTACCAAAAATTACCAATGCTTGCTACTAATTTCACAGAAACCAACTGCAGAATGAACAAATTTTCCCTATTTGCTGTCAGCACTAAAGCCTTCGAAGATTGACCGATCACAGACTTGAACATTTCCTCTTATCTTTCAAGTAGCTTTTTGAGATGAGGCTTCTGAGACACTGAAGAGCTGAGCGTTACAACTCCCTAGACAGAAGAGAAGGCTCTGCCAACCCAACACTAGAAAAAGCATTCAAAAGTACTGATTGAAACTGTAAGAAAGGTCCTGCTGAACGCTGCTCAAACCTCCTGAGATGTTGGGGGTGACTGAAAGCATGGATACTTCTTCAGGCTTCCTGCAGTGCATTGTTACATCAAGCATCCTTTCAGCCGGTGTTAGTGTAAAGAATGGAGGAAATACAGGCATTGGGTTCTCTGAATGTTACTTATACCTCTAGTTACTGTCATGTTTGTTAGCTACATGGGTCCTAGACTTTACCCTGTCCCACAGGAACAGTAACTCAAAGTCCTTTAGAAAGCTCAGTCTTTGGTGTTCAACTGATAAGACAGTGTCAAATTCTTATGCTGTTTTGTCACTCTCCCAGCTGAACACAAGCATGTCCTGAAGCATAGCATTTCAGCCAGGAAAATTAAGAGGATAATGAAGTTTTTGGAAACTTCTCTAAGGAAAAATAACAGCCCTGGCTAAGTTTAAAGGAAAACACCATTTTGGGTAAGAAACTCCTGGTTTTGTTGTTGTTGTTGCTGATGTAAGCATTTCCTTTCCAAATACTATTTAGTGTTTTACTTCTAAGAGGCTCCTTGGCGTCTCTGCACTTAGCTCACATCCTTAGAATGCTTCAAGTACAGCTGGTAAATCTGGAAAATGAAGCAAGTCATGAGAGGAAATACGAGCTCTGAGTTGGTCACTTGGAAAGGTGTCTACAGGGACACCAAGTGAGGGCTCAAAAAATCATCAAAAACAGATCATCAAGACTAACAGTGATTATTGCCAAAGCAGTTTATATTCCCCTTTGCTGCTCCTTGGGCAATTTAGGCAATCTGTCCTTTACTTTGAAAACAGTGCTTTCTAATTCACTCCTTTCATTTATGGGTGGATGGCTGAACATTCTTTTTGCCAAACAGGTCCAATTTTTGAGATCCTTTTCTATGACGATGGGTCCTGGAGGACTGTGCTGTGTTGTTCTCTTCTGATTAGTTGGAACAACCAGAGAGCCAGATGCAAGACGAGAACAACAATATCCCAATCCATTTAGAAGGCTTCGATAATTTCTTGGAGATGGCCATGGCAGTAGTGGGTTGCTGCCAGACTGCTTTGGCAGTCTCCAGCATGCCATCATTTTCTGGCATGGCTAATATCCCTTGTGCTCTTGAGTATAGCATGTCCAAGAACTTAGTTGTTTTGTTGGACTATCTGGATGGGATTTACTTTAAGCTGCTGCCATGTGGCGATTAAGTTCTGGAAAACTTTCAATCCATTAACAGAAGTTGATGTAGATAATGCATGAACTTATCAGCGTAAGAGAAGGGTATTGCAGCTGGGTCCAGAGAACCTCTTAAAAGCATTAAGTACCTCTCAGCCTTCTTCCTCTTATCACCTAGCAGCCAAGCCTAAAGCAGCTCATTATCTGATGAGTCTAAATGCATTAGGTGAAGAACACATGTTCAGGACACATGAGCGTGACTGGGCTAAGTCAAGTAGTGTGCAAAAGCCATTTAGACCACTGTCTATAGGGTGCACACACCACACAGAGAGGACACCAGACATCAGGGGATGTCGGATTACCAGCAAGATCACAGATCCCTTTCTAACTACCTTCAAAGACTTTGTTTCCTGAAATCTTCCTGACTCACACCAAGCTCCCAAGGGAGAGAGGAAGGATGAACAGGAGATGGCTTTCTCTGCACACAGCAGAAGCATAGGATGTAAAGCGTGGACATGACAAACTTGCAAACAGGAGCATGTGATGCTAACCGGTGCAGAGGATTTTTTTTCTTTAAACAGCTTCACTCAGCCTAGGAGAGGTCACCCTTATACTGATCCCAGCAGAGATTGTGCAGCTCCACATACTGTTTTAAGCTCAGATGCTGTATACGAAGTCTGTAGGTAGTCAGCAGTCAAAGACTGCTGCTAGCATGAAGGAGGTAATTCTTATGGAGGTGCTGAGTGCTCAGTGTGAAAGAGGGAGTATTGTTGGCAATACAGTCTTAGCTGCTGGGGTAAATCACGGTAATTCTTCTTTATCCTTGGTTCTGTGGTGCACATACATGCGCACAGACTTCCCCCCTCAAGCCTGATGCTGAAATAACTGCAAATGAATGAGAAGCCTCTGGGATGAAGCTGCGTGTCAATATGAAATACAGTCATCATTTACCTTGGCCTGAAAGACACACAGTGGGGCTTTTCTCAAACTCAGTCACTGTCTCAGAGGCATATATCAAACACTCCAACAGGAAGGTTTTCTCATCTTTCCTTTCTGACCATATTTGGAAACAAATGACAAACAAATCTTCAAGGAAGTATCCTTTATGGAGAAACGTGTCCTTTTCCTTGACAGAAAGAGCCATGTGGCTGGATATAATCGTGCCATCTGAAAAAAGACTACTTTGGGTGACTTAGCTTCTGTCTTCAACATAGTATTTCCAAGCACGTTATAAAAAATGAGAAAAATTACAAAAAATAAATAGCCTTTGTATAATATCCTTTGAATAAATCAACACTTTAAATAGCTACCCTAACATAAAGCAGCAAGACTAATAATTTAAACTAAGTAGCTACACTAAACTAAATAAAATCAATATAATGCCCATGAGAGATTGCCAGGACTTTCTCTAACTGTACTCATCAGTGAGCAAGAACGTAAGGGAAGACAACCCATGCCACTTTTTATTTCTTGGGTGGCTGGAAAAGTAGACCCCTCAAGACAAAGAGAATTGGATACAAATAAGGCACTAAGTCACCAAGAAGGGATTTTTGAGGCAGAAATTCAAGATGCTCCAGACCTGCTGAGTATTCAAAGAAATTCACCTGAATAACTGATAAATATTATTAGCAGAATACCTAAAAGCCTTATTAACGAATGAATTTAGTGAAATTGTTCAAGAGGATGTAGAAATAAAAACACCCCTGTGATGCACATAACAAGGAACTATTCAAATGGTCAGATTAAACCACCGAGGACTGAACATGCTAAATCTAAAATATGATATAATGCAACATAGTGTTGAAGTACTTACAATGTCCATTCTGCAAATGAGCCCTTCTTTTCTCTTCAGATTTCATTTTGGCCTTTATGTACCACTGGCATCTTTTAAGAAAAACAAGTGAGATTTTAATTAAAATATTTGTCATGCATAAAACAAATACATATTAAGTTTTATCTGCACTTTTATGAAAGCCAAAATCTTTAATTTAAATTTAAATTTAGTTAGGAACCTACAGAGAGAAACATGCATGAAGAACTACAAACAGATTAGATACAAATAAATCATGGTTGAATGATTAGTATGAAAATGACTACTAAGGTTCATGTTTGATGCAATACTTCATTTCCAAGTTTAACTCCTCCAAAGAATCCTTACAGCTTAATAAATTAGTACTTCCCTGCATTCTTGTTTGGATACATTGGTTCATGCTAATTAAACCTTATCCCATTAGCTTTCATATTCAGTGGGTCAAAAAAGCTCACGGTTTCTTCGTAAGATAACAGTTTCCATGATTTTAACATTTTTCATAGAAAAAAAAACCGAAATATTTGTTCACATCAGCACCACTTTTATTTTTTCCCCTCTTTTTTTTTCCCTTAATAGGTCTGTGCAGTCAGAGCCAGACACTGACTTTTTACTTCTGGTAAGATAGCAGCTAACCTGCAAGATAAACAATACATAGCCTGCTATGTGAATATGATGATTTAGCATATGCCTGTCTGATTGCTGCAAATCCTTGGCAAACAACACAAAACTCTGGATATTCATGAATTGTTAGCAGCCTTACCTGACAATGCAAGGCTATGCTGGAGAAAGCTGACACATGGCAAGCTTTCAGGTTCCCTGCAATAAAATCTCCTCCAGCCTGAACGCTGCCTACCTGCAGGACTGTGAATGCTAATTTAGAGAAACACATGCTAGGAGAAACTGTTTCAATCAAATAAAACTGAAGTATTTGCTCTTGGTCTTAAAGCTCTTTCTCAGGCACTGAACAGCCTAAGTAGTATGATTTAGAGTGAAAACTTTTGGTCTAAGAGCTAGGCTAAGGGCTACTGGGGCACTGACCCCAGTAGTGAACAGCAGTGTGTGTAGATATGTGCTTTGGTGTACAGATGTTCAGTTCCAAGACCAGCTTGAACAAAATGACTGGGCTCTGTGTCATTACTAGCTTTATAAAATAAAATAAACTATAATTATATATATCACATCCAGCAAAATACTAACAATCAAGATACTAGAAATACGTGAAAACACCACTTCAACACTTCATTTAAACATTGAAACAGCATAGGAACACTCACAAATTCATTCATTGCTATAAATGATGATGAACACCTTAAGGGCAGAAACTTCTGAAGCTGTCATGGCTATTCACCCTTAGGGGAGGGAAGCAGCAACCAGTGGATTCTCAGCTTCTGTGGAAATCTTTAAATTGTACACCAGTTGCTGGGATCACTAAGCACGCCAATTCCACTTTTAGGACCTGCACAACTGGTCTGTAGAGTGCCAACTGCCAAGAACACTCAACACCAGCTCTTACACTTAAACTGTCTGCCCAAGAGAACAACCAAAGAAAGGCTTTAACCCTCCGATCCTCTTAAATGAGCATGTGGCCCAAATGTTTGACTACAGAAGCCAGCGAGTAATCACGAGCAGAGGAGTCATCCAGCTCCAGCTCCCCATTCCCTCTTAGTGCTGGATACAGAAAATCAGAGAGGAATAATTTCTGTAATGATTATAATAAATCACACTGAGCTTTAACATCCCATTTCCCAGAATTTAGCCAGGACTCCCCTCTCACTTCATATCCTGTCCCTTGAAGTCTCTGTCACTTCCATTTTTCTCTCTGCAATTGACAGCCATGCTTCCTGCTTGCTCTTGGATAATCACTCAGCAAAGTGCCGAAGCAGGTGCTCATTGAACCCAGCCTCTCCACTATGAATAGACTCATCAGCAACCCTAGGACTCCATAGCTCGTCAAATTGTTAATTCAAAACAGAATTCTAAGTGAAGCAGAGCACATCTGTAGGGTACCGCTCCCGTTTTTTTCGGGCAGAAATTTACCTCCAGTCCTAGAGTAAATTGAGTATTTATTCAAAATTTTCTTGTTCTGTCTTCTGTGGAATACTCCCTTAAGCAGCACTTCAAAATGAATTCATATCTTAATTACTGAAATGGTCCCACTGAGTAAGATGTTAGAAAGCTAAGGGTATCTGAAGGGGGGCTACAAGGATGCTGAGGAGGGACTCTTCATTAGGGACTGCAGTGACAGGACAAGGGGCAACAGGTTAAAACTTAAGCAAGGGAAGTTTAGATTGGATATAAGGAGGAAGTTCTTTACTGTAAGGGTGGTGAGGCACTGGAATGGGTTGCCCAAGGAAGTTGTGAATGCTCCATCCTTGACAGTGTTCAGGGCCAGGCTGGACAGAGCCTTGGGTGATATGGTTTAGTGTGAGGTGTCCCTGCCCATGGAAGGGGGGTTGGAACTGGATGGTCTTAAGGTCCTTTCCAACCCTAACTGTTCTGTGGTTCTATGGAATCTCTGATATCCTTAACATCAGCAAATAAGAGGAATAAACACTGAATGAAACCCACTGACATATTTTTCAGTCCTGAGTTTAGTGATTTTTTCCCTAAAAGAAGCATTTGATTTCTTTCAGGATGCCACGTAGGGATTTCCCCCCCAGGTTATGTTCTAAGAAAAGTTTGTCTCCACACATACACTCCCTACAGAGCCTACTGCAGGAGCTGAGTATGACTCCTCTGCACAAAGGCCCATAATCTCTACAAGGGATCAGTCTGGTTTTAGGCTTTCTTGATCCATGGCAGGACTGTGGTGCCACTGATGCTTAACAGAGGAGACAGAGACATAATGTCTTTGTCCTTTCAAATTCTGCTTTGCTTTCTGATTATAAGAAGGTGAAGTCCTCATACCACATGGGAAACACCTGGAGGCTCAATGGAAAAGGAGATAAGACATCCTGGAAGCATTTATGCCTATGGTAATCTGAGTCCCAGCAAAGACTGATGGCCTCTACATGTGGTTTTTAGCATGTCCAATTAGAATTTGTGAGTTCCCTTAAAGCCTTCAGTGTTTAACTGAGTGTGGCATTTGACCACATAAATCAAATGCTTTCTCATCCAGTCTGCATAAGGTCATTATCTGATCCTGATCAACACATCAGCTGAAGAAAGGTGGACAATCAGCACTTTGCTAAAAGAATTGTAAGTATAAGAACCGGGGTCATTATAAAAAATAATCATTTTCCAGGTTGGTGAACTCCCCCGCCAGTGCAACAGTACTGCTGTAAAGCAGATGTAATTGAGATGTCTTCAATCCAATTTAAGAAAAGCCAAAAAAACAGCAATTTGGGACCTCCAGGAAACTATTTCCTGTTCACCAGTGACAGCACAGGCAGTAGAATCATTCTAGCGTTTTGAAGGAAAATTTTCCTTAGTTTACCTTCATTACATAATTCCTGTATTTTATCTTAATAGTTGCAAAAATGTGCTTATAAAACATATACATAATCGTGCAGGTACTGCGTTTTTCAATTCTTGCTCTGCAGGCAAGAGGTCCAGAAACTTGCTTTAAAAATTGCCAATTTTCTGATTTCACATAAGTGCTTAGCTCCTCAAACTGGGTTCTTATGGAAAACAACACTCACAATAGAACTGTGGGCATGAGCAGTGCTGAACCAAGGGGACATTCACCCTGCTATGTCTGACCCTATTTAAACACTGGAAATGTGTAACTGCTACTCTTAAATTCTCTGTTTTGGGTGACTCTGACCCTGACTAAACAAGAACACTGCAGTGTTAATTACCTTCCAGTGATGAGGAAGAACAAAGTGAGGATGACCAGCAGAGTGAATCCACCAACAGCAGCAGTGGCAATTACAAGTATCTGTCCCTGCTCCGCAGCCATATCAGAAGCTGAAAGGAAGCACAAAGAGGTTAAATCCAGGGTTCTTACAGAATGGGTGGTAACATTTCACTGGTCAAATGTTGTAATTACTCTGTAATAGTTTCCTTGTTGCTTAGCAAGGACATCAGGTGTGAATGTGCAAAAAGCCATAATCCATGTCCCAGCTACTATGGGGGGGAGATGAGGTATTATGAGCTGGTATTATAAGACACGTGCAGTTTGCTGAAGTTTGAATATGATGGGATTTTGGACACCAAACTAGACATTTTTGGGTTGTTTTGGTTTGGTGTTTGTTTTAGCTTTATCTAGCTTAATCCTGCATCTCATTCAGAACTTTGCATCATCCAACTGTCCCAGTGAAGTCAGCAGCAGTGCTATGTATGTAAGAGATATTAAGCTGGGTTTAGGAGAAAACAGGAAAAAGCACACTCAATGTGTAGCCTCACACACTTCTCTGTATGTCTGGTGTTTAGTGTGGCTGTCACAAATTGTATACGGTTTTACCTACAGCCTGCTCTGGTGGACTGTTTTCTTATACCTTGTATTTTTATCTCTGCTTTTTGTAGAATATTTGGGAGTTAAAAAAGTTCACCTGAAATGATCCTGTCTCCAGACACTTGCTCTTCTTATGAATTTATTGTGAATACTATTAAATCTTTACAGAGACAAAGTACTCATAGTCCGGTTGGTCCTCACTGTCCAAATACTACATGAGCAGAAAAAGAATAAGGCTCAGTTTTTTCTCTATCTCCTGTCTTGTGAATCCAGTTTTATTTCTTTAACTCAGTTACACGTGAACATTTTCAGCACATACCATTCACTTAATTCCAGCTTTCTGTTCCCATAAGAAACATAACATTGTTCTGACAGGAGAATACATAATTCTGTTCAATGACCTCTGACAAGAGTGGTAAATGTAGAAAGGAATAATTTTTGATTTATCAAGAATGCAACCTTTATTTTGTAAATGTCAAAACTGCGCTATAAGCAAAATCTTCAGCTTTCTTTAGGTACCGGATGATTAAAGCTTAGGGAAATCACGTAGAAAGCCTAGAAAGCTCAGCAGGCTGCATTCTCTCACTTCGCACTTGATACAACGCACACTTTGCTGCCCAAAGCCTCATAAAATGAATAACGTTTGGCTTCTGAATAATATTTGTGAGTGGTTTAGAAATCAGCCCTGTAAACTGTGTGCAAAGGTTGTAAAGTAAATAAAAACAATAGCAGTTTATGTCAAATTTTCAGCAAAACCAACTTGTTAATTTTCTGCCATTAGGGTTTTGCCCATATAATTTAATGGCAGTAGAGGCACAAGGAGTAAATTACAAAGCATTCAGTATATGTGGCCATAAGCTCTCCATAGACAAGTTACATACATACATCTTCCAATAAAATGGTGTAGCAAATACTGAATAGCTAATCTCCAAAATGGTATCTAGTAATATTATGGGAGTGGATTCTAGCTCTGCATTGTGTTATGCTTCACAGGGTCAGATTTATGTGGAAAAGTGCAACGTGACAAGTATCATACCACACAAGTGGCAATGCAGATAATAACAGGCTCTCCAAATCACAGGCTGAATACTATTTTCAGACTAGAGGGGGTTGTGCTAAACGTTGCAAAGATTGTTAAAGCCAGGCACAGTTTGAAGTTGTAAATGCAGGAGGAGGTTTTAGATGAGTCTTCCTTTATCCTCCTCTAATAGGAAGATGATGTGTGCTAAAATAGTGAAGTCAGCCAGAGAAAAGCGATCCATGAGCTCAGATAAATTAGCTGTGGTTTTCTTCAGCAGGCATTCATTGGCAAGGACACAACCCAGGGTTTTTCTTCATGAGAATTAAAGGTGCAAATGCGGGCACTGATTGCATAGTCCAAAGAAGGACACTGCTGCTATCAAGATGAAGAAAGTCACATGCCCTGGATCATTTCTGCTGAATGGAGCTGATATTTTGTGGTGTTCTAGCTAAACCAGAATGCAATATATGAGTTTAATAGCATATTTTCTATTAGGAACCAGACTGAAATACATGAAGGGGAGAAATTCCAGACTTAGTTCTTTCTACCTCTAAGCAATATGATTTTTAGCTGAGATTACACATACTTAAAAAGTGGTCATCCTGTTTCTCTTGTTTGTATTTTGCAGAAGGGCCAGAGTCCAATACATTAGGGTTTTTTTTTCAAGTAGCCAAATCACTATAAGGGGCTTTCAAGCCTGAAACTTCCCAATGAGCTTTATTTACTTGTCAGATAAAAATGTCGAATGACAAACAAATACAACTGGAAAATGTGGATTTGTTAAAACCTGACAGAGAGGCAGGTAAGGGAAAAGGATGGGAATACTTATTTTTGCTTGAAGTGATCCTCACAGAAATCAATAAAGGCACAGTGCAGTGAATAACACATATATAAGCACACGTGTACGCACATACACAGACTCCTCACATGCAGGTAAAAGGTTTCATAAAACACTATCTAGACAGTGAGAAGACAGTAACCAGGGACACTCAATGATTAATTTTTTTTTTACATAATTTTGCCATTCTAAATTGAATTCAGCATGTCCCTCCATCTCTCTGTTCTCATTTCTTCAGTCTTCTCTTAAGGTAAAGGTCAAGCTGTGAACAAGGGCTTTAACGTCCATTGTGTCTGCTGTGCATGTTCTTGAACCTTTCCTGCTTTTTCCTCCCTCATTTTTTCCTCTCTATCAGCTGTGCATATTGGTATATGACCCTGTGTTTCTCCTCAAGACTATTCTTGGTTACACAAGACAGAAAAACTCAGTTTAAAAACCGATTACAATAGGTTGCAAAGCCATTCAAGTTTTTGCAACCTTATTTCGTCTCTCTGTGTTTGTGTGTCAGAGTGCTGCATTTAATCACAGAAGTACATAACATTTTTCACAGAATCTCATTAGTTAAACAACAAGACCAGAATTCATATAACTAAAATCAGTATTTTGTTGTCTCTACAGGAATATGTAAACCAATAGCAGTGCTAAGACACTTCTGGGAGCTTCCCCTATCTAACTGGGCTGGCTGTTCTGTCTGGTACTGCGTTTCATTCTCTCTGCCTGTCTGCTCAGGAAGTTCATTTTGACAAAAACATACTTTAAATTGAGTAGCACAAGACAGTGAAAAGGGGGGATTTATTTCTTACCCCAGAAGATGATTAGATAGTACTCTACAAAGTTTGGGTGTTTAAACTCTAAACAGCAGCAACTGGTGTGATTAGTCAGGTGATTTGGCTTTAAAATGACCACCCATCATACACGTACTGAGAAATGTGTTATCCAGATAAACTCTTCACTCCCACTACTCTTCATGCTTAACTCAGGTTATACACCCAAAATGACATGTAAAGTGTCTAACTACATTGCTCCAGCTTCCATGCTTAACACCATGCCCAGAAATCCCTTCTGCATCCAGCCTGGCACCAGTTCTATCCCCACCTACTCTGTACACTCACATCCAATCCCAGTTCCTCCCTGGGTTCTTCACCCATCTGTGGAGAGTAGCTGCACCTTCCCTCCTCTCTGGGCTGAACACAAATATCTCGAGGTTTCTTCATGTCCGCGCTGGGCAGACTGGAAGAAATGGTGCAGGCATTTTTGTCACAGTGTGAGAGGATGAAAGAGAATCTTCCAGCTCTGTTCTCCTTTCTTTTCTCCAAAATCTTTTAAAAGGTTGCGTATTTGGTATAAAAGGGCTGGAAGCTCTAAGGACAGCTCACTTCTGCCTCTTAGCTACATCCTTTAGTTATTTCAATTTGACATCTATCAGGCAGCAGACCTTCCAGCAGAATGAAAGATAAAAAAATGACAGAAAGACAGCTAGACAGATAATGGTGAGCAGATGTAAGATAGGTAAGTGTGGATCACGAGAACTGGAGTTCTAATAGACAGGAACTGGATGTCAGATGGATTTACAAGCCATTGCAAACATCAGTGCTTAAGAACAAGAAGCAAGAAAAGTACAGAGTCTAATTGGGGTAACCTTTACATTTTCAGGAGTGCTGCAGTTCCTGCGCTCCAGTGAGCTGATGGGCTCCAGTCTAAGAGGGAATGCTTTCGGGCACATACACTAGAGAAATCAGATAGGCCAAAGCCAAATTTGAAGAACAAATAGCTGCAAATGTAAAATACAGTAAGGAAATACTTCAAGATTAAAATGAGACATCCTGAACTATCCAGTGCTGACTACTACTGAATGAACAGTAGGACGAGGCAGACATGGGGAGAGATCCAGCAAGACAGTTTCTAAATACGAGATATGTGCTATCGCACTTGTTTGTTTCAACTGGAAATTTGATTTATTCTTAACAAAGCATCAAATATTCTAACAACAACAAAAGTCCATTTCACATTGGTAAATCAATGTATTTCTAAAAATCCTAGGCACAGCTTATATCCTAGGGAAGACCAGAGTTTTTTGTAGTGACTCAAACAGTTGGTACTACCGATACAGAAAAGCAGGATCTATGAGTGAAGTTATGCTTCAATTTATAGCCACAACAGTGGTATGTGTGCATGTACTGGAGCGTATGAAACAGTCAGCTTTGCTGGAAGTGTTTTGCCTGTAACGTGATGAAACAGGGAGAGACTGAATAAAATGGGAATAAAACAGTCAAAAGCAATGGTTACTATGCTTTGCAAAAGTACTGCATTTCCCAGCAGCAGCCTCAGCTTTTATCCCATATAACAGACAGTGTTTCAACCAGTAAACTGGAGGAGGCAGGACAGCACTGTCCTGCCAAGAACAGCAAGTGTGAGGATATGAATATGTACGTTGCACAGTTGATGAGACATTAATTTTTACAACTTGACTATCACTTTAAAGAAAAATCCTATTTTTGGATTGCTTGCTTTACCTCTATTTATTAACAAATCATGTCAATATTCAAGCGGGGTAAACGGAATAACCTTAATGGTTCATCTTGTCCTGGAATCCTTCTCTAGATGCTAAGACTGTAATATGTACAACTGGTAGAGAGCTGAAGGATGTTACAAGCTACTGCGCCTGAGAAGGATTTTTATCAAACACATGACCTGAAATACTTATTTGTAACTTTTGAGACTGTTGGTAGACGAATTATCTGTTGTTAACACAGCCTTTTAAAGGACTGCATTCTTCCCAGCCTTCTCATGAGAACGTTAACTTTAGCTGACAACAAATAAATTAAAATCTGGCTAACTGAAAGACCACAAAAAGCAACTGCAAATGGGGAATTTTCACTAAGTAACTTGTTTCTACTGGGTAGAGATGGGGGGAGCTGCAACAGCCTGCCTTGGTCTAATACTGTTTGGTATCTTTCAGAATAATTGAGAATATGTATTAAAAAATCAGAACATTTTCAGCTGAGCTGCATATGCCAGAGTAGTACATGATGAAGACAGATTCCCACACAGCTCGACTTGAACTCGTTTGTAAGATAGATTCATGCCAGCAAGGGCAAATTAACATTTACATGTACTGATACAACTATGCAGTCCATGTCTCAACACATTCCTCCCCAATTCTTTCATCTAAATGTAGGTCAGTAGCTTAGAATACAATGGTATTGATAAAAACTTTGCTATGCTCTAGTTATTCAGCTGTGTAAGACAATGCTTTAGTTCAGGCAGCCAATGTTTAGAATTGTAAGTAAAAGCAAACTGAATTATAAGAAGGAAAGCAGTGTCAGGTCAGTTTATGGCATCATAAGCAGATTTAGTTTTCCAGTTTAATTCAGTATCAGGTTCAGCTCTGGTGTTATTCTTCTCTTCAAAAAGGACAGTAGAATTTTAGACAGCTACAAAATAATCGATGTTTGGAAGACAGGTTGGAGTTTTTTTTAGAGTGTGAGAGCATTTCTATCACTTTGGGGAAAGATAAGAGAGTTCTTTAAAATGGCATGAACACATTTAGATGAGAAGGAGATTTCCGATAGTAACTTTTTAATTTGGCAGAAATGGATCACAAGATAAAAAAAACTCAGGCTAGAAATAAGGTGAAATTTTTTGATTATGAGGCTTAAGCACTGGCACTATCTATCTACCTATAAATACTCTGAGCTCCCCATTACTGAGAGACTATTTGTACATGGTAGATGTTGCATTTCAATCTCTTGTCATTAGCTAACTGAAAAAGTTACGGTTACAGACATTTGGCCCATGTTACGAAAGGGGTGCAAATGAATGATCAAAATCACCTTCACGTTGTGTTAAATTTTAGAATAGGGCAATTTTCAACATATTGCTGTAAGAAAGTGAGATATTTGGAGAGTAACAAGGCATCATTTGACTGGTCACTGAGTACTGCTTCCATCTGAAATAAGTAGTACTTACCAGCAGGCACTTTGCCATATTTTTTTCCCTTTGAAATCTAAAGCAATAGTGTATAAATATTTGGATAAGACCACAGTCATTTGAACTATCATTTAATTGAATTGAAGTCTTTATCTAGCTCCAGGTACCATTTCAAAATGCAGCAGAATTTCTCTTGGCCTCCATTTCAACTGATCATAAACAAAACCTCTTCTGTCTGCATTTCCTTTCAATCACACTATTTATAACAAATCACATACCTTTAGTCAGGCAGAAGCTTAAGCAATAGATGTTGGTAAACAGCAAATATGCAATATGTATTTATGTTTCACTATCAAGATTCGTACTGAGTGCTTAGAAGTAACAGAAGCATTAAACGTTTAAGAGTGTTGTGAGCTCAGGCTCACCATGCAACCAAAGAGCCTGTTGCATTAATGCAATTGAGAAGGGGATATGGGGTTGGCAAGGAAGGGGTGGAATCTCACTCCCAGGAGATATTTCTATCAGCAGTGTTAATGAAAGAAATGTCACTGGAACCAACAGTCTTCCTGATTTAAACTGGTAAGTCACATTTTACAAACATAGGCTCATAGACGTTTAAGTACCCTTTACTTTTGACTAGTTATGTGCCTGGGTACCTAGTATTTAGTGCATCAGAAGATGCAGACAGGATCTACTGGAATTCTTGAAAGCACCCAAGTGCTCCACTCCTATACAAACCAATTGGCTTCAGTACCCAGAAAATTGTTAAGTGTACAATTAGGCACTAAGTGCTTGGAAATCTATCCCTCAAACGTTAAGAAGCAATGAAAGTAGAACGCAAACTCATGGGTGCTCTTGGAAACACATAGTTCTGAGTCCATCTGTTAGCTTAAGCAAGTTGAGTTGTAAAACACTACTGAAAAACATGATAGAAAAAACTGGTCAATTAAAGCAATTTCATTCATGGGTGTTTTATTGTCGTATCTACTACACTAATTTTACCTCAAATGCTCGTAGATACCTTGTTTGCAGTTTCTTTGAACATGGAGGGCAATTATATGACAAATATAATAAAACTGTTTAGAGCACAAACACAATCCACAGCATCAAGCCTTTTTGATTATTATGTAGGAATATGTAGGCTTTTTGCTTTTTACTGGTAAATTTAGTAGGCTTATTGATTGATGGAAATGCATTTTTTGGTTTGTTTTTTTTTTTTTATTTTTTGTTTTAATTTGTAGATTCTGGGAGCACTCATAACCACAGAAAAAAAGAGTTCATTGCTGTGTTCTGGGAGCCTGCATGAAGCTGCTAGACTACGGATACTTCTAGATGTCAAAAGGAAGGCCTTTAAGCAATAGAATCACAGAATACCTCAAGTTGGAAGGGACCCATAAGGACACATGGCAGAAGAAAAGATTCCTTCAGCTGCAGGGTTGGGCTAAAATGTCTATTGTTAGGAATTGTGAAGCTGAAGCCTACTTGTTTTTGTCATAGAGTAGCAGTGATTTTGTGATAAGCAAATGGTATAGATCCAGCCATTCAAACTCCCAAATGTCTCAACGTTTCAGTAACAGATGCTACTCCTATTGTATGTGATTTTTTTTTCCTTCAGTGAAACTTACTTTCATCTCCAGTTTCAAATTCAAACTTCTGGCTATAGCCGCTGTATCCTGTTGCCGTCCTGACTCTGATATGAAATATATACTTGGTGGCTGGCTTGAGACCTGTGATGATAACACTTGGAGCCTTGGACCTTGTGGAGGAATAGCTGAGCTGCTCATGCTCCTGAGGGACAAAAGAGGGGAGAAATGATATCAAGTTGAGTTGTACAAATTTTGCAAAAAATGATATAACAGAAGCTCCATATTCTTCTCATGAATGTAAAATGTGTTTATAAAAGGAGGTGTAGGCATGGATTTTTGTGCTTTGATTTTGCGCTGTAGTCATAATGCATGATATGGCCTTGACTTAGATTTCATCTTTTTGGCTTTGATCTTGCATATAAACATCACATCACATCTTTGTGACTTGGGTTAGTAATTACACTGTAGTCAAAACAACATGGAATTAGTACAAGACTACATTTAGAGATAATGGCAGCTAGAATGGTAGCTAATTATTTTTGCACAATGGACAAACTAGGAGGTCAGTAAATACTAGTAAGCTGTAAAGTAAAGATGTTGGAGTATTCAAATACCCGCTACTCACTTCTACCCGCAGGTAGTGCCAAAATGCCGGCGCTATCCGTGGGTAGACCTGTGGGTAAAAGAAAATAAAAATTAACTTTTTCTTTAAAGTCTGTAAACTTCTAGAATGAGTCGACTGCATCACTGCTGTTGAACTTGGCTTCTCTTTCCATGTAGCTGTAATGCAGTCGCACATGAAATTCCCTTTCACACTCTATAAGGTGAAACACTCTCTGCAGAAGTCCCCTGCTAATCTCCTAGCAGTTGGTCCTGGGCATCTGCTGAGAACTCAGTAAAGAAATTCCTGACTCAGATCACCGAGAATTATGGTGTAGAGATCACTGGGAGTTACCACTGCAGACACCTGCCGTAGTATGGAGCCCAGCCGCATCAATTGATGTGAACAAACTAAGTGCTGCTTTGCTAGACAGGTTGTTGGTGATACTTTTACAAGAAGGGATGACTCAGAACAGAGAGTTTATTCCCTGTCATTAATTACTGTCACTTGAGAAATCAGTAATCTGCAATATTTTATATGGTGCCTTAAGGCTAGCTCTACTTCACTGCAGCAGGATTTGTCTCCAAACTGACAAATGAACAGAAATGTCCTTGGCATATGCTTAACAATCCAACTGTGATATCCATAGGGCACCATGTACATTTGTTATACCATACTGTAATATTAAGATTCCATATACATTATTCAAAGGGTGCTTTCAGGCTGTTAAAAAAGAAACAATCTGGTTCACAGAAAACATAGAACCAGGAGAAGAACAGGTTTCAGTTAGACTCTATTGGGCTCAACCTCTTCTGAGCAACATACATACATATTTTTTTCCCTAAGTTTTTTTTGGACAGACAGTTACTGAGTATAATTTCTTATTGTAGTTGGTCAAATATAATGACTGTGACAAAGATTGTGATGGTAACATTTAATCAACAAAATGGGTCCTTCCATCTGTGCGGGCAGGCTGTGGCTAACAGCATTTTCCTGAGGGGCTGCCATCTCTGCCTGTCCTTCATAGAATCATAGAATCATAGATGATGTCCTTCTGGGCACTGGAAGTATTTTGGTCACCTCCAAGGGTTGTCTGGCTTGCTGCCCTCACCACATGCCTGCAGCTGTCCGCAGGAGGCCCTGAGGGGTCCCGTCTCTGTGTTCTCCTGCCTCCTTCCTTCTTTCCTTTCTGCAGCCTCTTATGCCATCCATCACAGTCAAAATGGTGTCTAGGGGTCCACAACCACAAAACTTGTACTTCTGCCATATGGAAAAAGTGGTAGGATTTGTAACTGCAGGTGAAATGAGGGGAAAGGAATGTGCCACCTTGGTGTATTTGAGAACAAAAAGCTTCAGAAGCCTGTAGCCAAGGAGAAAGGTGCTCAAACTCAAGACAAAATGATTAATAGCTGGAAACTTCACATTGTTTAATGTGAATGTTTCACACAGAGACATCAGCCTTTCTGGACTGGATTCATACATAATACAATTCTCCAAAGAGTGGATGTTTTGCCATTACACACTTTTCATTACAATTTCAAGATCTGAAGCTACCCAGCAAGCCAAAGCTTTCCACAGAGAGATGCAATTTGAGGTAGATGGGGGTGGCTCTCAAGGTTGGCCCATGATCATTCCCAGGAAAGCTAAAGATGGTCTTAGGATAAAACAATACAATTTTAGGCTGCAGAGGAGTATGGGATGCTTTGTCTTATCCTTGTCACAAATAATACACACTTTTGCATGGATTCTGGGTTCAGAAAGTGAATTTTAAACTGCAGGACTTAGATGTAGTTCACTGATGTTAGTGTGTGCTTTCACCAGACTCTGATTTTATGATGTGGCAAAATTTACACATCTATCAGCCCTCCTGCCATGCACCCTATTTTCCACTGGAAGGAAGCATGATTCTGTGGGCTAGAAGGAGCTACAGTATGCTCTGTCATAGATCTCCAATGTGGACAGTGATGGGACCATGGGAAACATCAAAGAGTTCATATACAAAGGAAAGTACAACAAATGCTCTGATCCTTCATTTTAGTATCAGAGCAGCATTTGTGATCTTAAGATGACACAGCACTCGCAAGAAGCAGTTTTGAGAACACAGGGGCTGAGGATGTAAACATAAGTTAAAGGAGTCTATCTAATATATTCATATAACTACTAGTCAGATTCTGATAAGAGTAACTTCACAAGGACTCTTCTATAGCCTACTGCAAACTTATCTTGGTGAAAACCTGTAATTAAAACAGAAATATAATCCAAAAAATAAGTGAAGCCAATGTTATTACACAACACAACAGAAAGCCTATGAATAGCTATTCAAGCTAAACAGAATTATATCATAACTTTGAAAATGCTATCTCTATTTCTATGGAAATTGTATTTTTCTTATTGTTTGTGTGATTCTTGTCACTGGATTCAGTCTGATTATGAGAGAGACAATGTCCACAAATCTGTGACAGTTTGGTCTATGCATGAACATGAATACCTTTCAGAATCAAACTCTTTTCTTGCAGCCACCTCTGCATTAGTATCTGAATCTGTATGCATCCTAATATTATACCTGGCTCTATAGTCAAGACATTTTTTCATATCCTAAGAAATAGACTGAATGGAGGTTGCAGTGGTGCATATGGTCTAAGAGAAGACAAACTGATTTAATGGAGTAGCAGGATCAGAGTATAAAAAATAAGGAAAAGCCTTCTTCTTTTGCAATGCACCAGACTAGCTGCATCTGTCCTACCAGCATACACTGTAATGAAACATTTCCACTGCATGACATCATCAGATTAAATGATAGTTCATCACTCACTGAAATCAGCTACTTTATTAATGAAGTCATATTAATTCATTCAGATGTCACATTATCATGATGAGCATTACAATTTTTCTCATACACTCAAAAGAAAGCGGTTTCCTTCTGTGGATACTAACACTTGCAGACTAATACATGCACCTCCAACTGCCACACCTATGGGAACATGCTGCTCTCTAATTTTATTCCCACCTTACTTCAGAGGGAAACAGCACAGAACTGAAGACTGTGAACATAAATGAAATAACATATTGATAAAGATTAACCGAAACGTGAAGACCTTTCATCAGTTCATACTCATATGACAATCAAAGAGCTTACATTCTGATGCTACAGGTGAGAAAAAGTATATATGGCTAAACATGGTCAGGGAAAAAAAAGAAAAAGAAATAAAAGCTGAAATACAGATTTTGCTTACAGTGCGTGAACAACCTTTAAAGGATTAATTTTACCAGTAAAGCACTGATAAAAATCCAGGCACTTTCAGGCATACAAGATTTGTCACTGTTAATATTTGAGTGCGAATGAGAAACATGGATCTCAATGAAATCTCATCAGTTCTTATTTTAGCAACTGAGAAGATAACTGAATATAATTTTCTAACATTTAGGATATATAATGGGAACTCCAAGAACTACCACTCTGTGTCTAGCTTATATTATGAATGACAACCAAACTGTTCAGTTTATTGAGTCCCACGAGTAACTGAAAAGCTTTCTTAAGCGTTGAGTTTTCAAAGGCTTCTGCCAGCTGAAAACATACTTACTGTGCACCTACAACTTCCAAGTGTGTATGTACAGAAAGAATCCAAGGATACAGTATCCGATTTTACTATCAACTGCTTGAAAATATATTTTCTAGTCTATATCCATTGTCCTCTGACATGAAAATTCTGTACTTAAGCCATAAAATACCGCTTAGCCTTTTCAGAGCATATCACTTAACAGAAAAATACTAATAGAGATTCAATCTATATACCACAGGGACCAGGTCTTCCTCCTGTGCACTAAAGCACGATGCATAAGCTGAATAAGTACCACACTAAAGTAAAAAAGATTTGGAGGTCCATGATTCAGACATTATCAATGTTTAAATAGAAGCACCAACTATAAAAAAGGATCTTCTATGAGATCATTTGGTCACATTTCTCCTCTTTCCTTGATACATCAGTTGGAAGGATATACACAGTGTGACACGCAGAGGAAGCACCATTACTTTAAAGGAAAGACCATGATTCTGGAAGACAGGAATTCTTTTTAATCATAGCTCTGATCTATCGTGAAATGAAATCTCCAACACCTTCCCTACTTTTCTCATGGAATCAGCTATGGTGGCACCTAATTACCTTCCCAGTCACCTGAACTTTAATGCTGTGATACACATTAGAAAAAGACAGTAGGTAATTATTAGGCATAATCAATATGTGATTAATCAGTCCAAGTAGAATCTATTAAAGACAAATAACAGCTAACCGTGTTTGTACTTACTGTCTCTGTTTTCCAAGGAAAACACAGCCCCTCGCAGCTCCAATTTACAGAAACTGCCTTTGATTTATATTGCCTATATTCCTTTCACAACTAATTTGTCCCCAATAATTCTCAAAAATTGTTTTCTTTCTCCACAATAAAGTTTCTGAATGCCTATTGCCCTGAGTCAGATCTCTCTTCTCATTAGATTCTTGTAGATGAATTGTAATTACATCGAAATCAGTAAAATGAACTACACCTGGGAAAACCAGTCTGTCTTTGAAAGCCTCCCTCTGTCTTTACCAATTTTGTGCCTGATTTTCTCTTAGGTGATTATTTTGACCTAGGGCATACCAATTAACATGAATGACAGCAATAATATTTAGCAGGTATTAGAGAAAACAGTCACTGGTTCAAAAACATGCTTCTAACATTAATTACTTTCTAATTACAGTATGTTCAACAGCATTATGTAAATTCTCATTGCAACAGAGTGATATGAAAAACTACAGTAATACAAATACTAGCGGAAGATACTATTCATACTCTTGTGAAAACACTTCCTAAGAATCTTGTAGCTTTAGTTTCCAGCTGACCAACAAACTTAAAGTAAATTTAAAAAAGTGATTTTAAACAGCTCAGGACCAATAGGAACTAAGATGAAAACGGTGACAGGAAAAAGTAGGGCCATACAGAAAACTGCTGGTGGCTCTCGTAATTGCTTCAGAGAAGAAACCTGCAGCATTTTAAGGCATCAGCCACTTTAGGTTGTAATCTTCCCCCTTCCCTTC